ACATGCCTGTTGTGCCTCAGTTTCCCCAGTGACACCCAGCGTATCCCACCGCTGGCCAGGCAGGGGCAGAGCAGTCTCCGGCTGCCCGTGCCCACCTTGATGCATGGTGCTGGCACCCCCTTTCTTGGGATCGCTGGCACTGCAAGTGCCCTCCACGGTGTCACTCCGTGTCCCTGGGCCCCAGCCAGCGCATGGTGAGGAGCCATGAGCCCCACGCTCCCCTCGCTGTGGTGTTGATGGGGACGGGCGGGGCCGGGGGACATGGCTGGGGGGCATTCCCCAGTGCTGCGGGTGTGGGCAGGGGGTTGCTGCCAGGACGGGGCTGATGTCCTGGTCCCTGCGCACCTGGGCAGACTGGCCTGGCCGTGGGGGACCCACGAGCCTCTCAACCGCCCCTCGGGGCTGCATGTCAGACACCCCTGGCTCTGCATCATCCCTATGAAACTGAGCCCTGCCCTCACCCACGGGGATCAGGCAGCATCTCCCTGGGCTCCTCACCTGCCTGGGGGTGCCGGGGGATGTGAGGGTCCGTGGGGGACCCCCGCTGCTGGGAGGGTGTCTGTGCCAGCATGTCACCAGCCAGGGACGGCAAACCTGCCTGGATAAAGTAAGATCTGACCGAAGCTACTAGGAGCTTCCCCTTCCCGACACACGAGTCAGTAGCGAGGACAATGAGTTAGGGACCTAATCCTCTGGAAACTGCCATCTGCCCTGCCCACTGTGCCTCAGTTTCCCCTTTTTCAATCATCATGGCTTCAAGAGCGGGTCTGACCCTCCCTCCTTGCTGTAGTCAAACCAGCCCGGTTCTCCCAGCGGGTCCGTGGGACCCCAGGCAGGTGAAGGGCAGGGGAGCAGCATCCCCTTGGTGCGCAGCAGGAGCTGCTGGGGTTTGCCCCCGCTGGCATTATTGCTAACCCCTCGCCAGCTGGCCTCGGCCACTCCTGTCCCCACCTTGGTCACCTGCCGAGCGAAGGGCCAGGACTGCAGCCCACGGCAAGCTGGCACTGCTGGACCAGCTCCAGCCCTCAGGGGATGCGCCAGGAACAGGCTGTCCCTTCCCCTGTTTTTTCCGCGCGGCCGCCACGGGCCCCCGCCCCTGGCGTGGGACGCGAGGTTAGAACCCCCAAGACTCCTCTCCGGGGATGCCCAGAGCCAGGAGCATCCGCAGGGACCACTTGCCTGCTCCCCTCCCTGGCACGCGCCTCCCAGGGCAGCCAGGACCTGTCCCGGCTGGGGGGAGAGGAGCGGCATGGCCAAGGTGGGGGGAACTCTCTCGGGTAGCAGTTTGGAGGGAGGGGGACGCTGGGCTCCTCTTTGCAAGGTCTGCAATGGGAAACGCATCCCCGAGCAGCGTCCCCGAGCCAGAGCCAGGGATGGGATGGGCATTGGGATGGGCGGGGGAGGAAGGTGGAACAACCCCCCTCCAGGGAGCTGGCTCTGCGGAGGATGCATCCTGGATCCGCCCCACAAGCGGACGAGCACCCACCTCTCTCACGGACGAAGTAAGCCAGGTAGAGATCGAGCTCCTTGACGGAGACGCTGATGTGGTGGGGCTGGACACAGAGGATGGGGTTAGTGCACTGGCCCGACTTGACCAGGCGCTCGCCATCGGTGCTCTCCAGGGGGATCCCTTTGAAGAGGATGACCATGTCCCGCCTGCCGCAGGCAGTCGATGCGGCGCATCTTCCCCTTCTGGTCAGGGTTGGAGAGGACGCAGCACGAGGGCTTCTTGCCTGTGATGGAGAGCACGAAGTCCTCGCGGCACTCGGGCCGGATGTCCTTGCGCAGCTTGGCCAGGAGGCGCGAGGCCCATTTCTGCTTCACCTCCGGCTTCTCGCTCAGTAACTCATCCCCGCCTGCCGCAGGCAGTCGATGCGGCGCATCTTCCCCTTCTGGTCAGGGTTGGAGAGGACGCAGCACGAGGGCTTCTTGCCTGTGATGGAGAGCACGAAGTCCTCGCGGCACTCGGGCCGGATGTCCTTGCGCAGCTTGGCCAGGAGGCGCGAGGCCCATTTCTGCTTCACCTCCGGCTTCTCGCTCAGTAACTCATCCTTCACCGCCCTCTCCTCGTCCTTTGTCATCCTCTTCTCGTGCTTCTTGAAGTACTTGCGCTTGCGGGCCTGCAGGTTGAACCAGGTGTAGGCGAAGGCCCGGACGTGGGGAAGCAGTGACTCGATGAAAGGGAGGGACTCATCCTGC